CAGGAGTCCTGGTAGACCAGTCCTGCTACCTTTTCTACACCACGAGTTATTCCAGGGTGTAACTCGGGTGTTTTCTTTAGTTTCATGTCTTTTAATTTCCAATGTAAACCCTGTTATCTTTCAAATTCAATGAAATGATATCAATATTTCATCGTCCATCTTTCTTTATTCCTTCTGATTTTTGTTATTTTATTTTTCTTCTTCTTTCAGTCCTAATAATGCGGCTTTAAATAACATGACATGCTTGCGGACTTCATGCCCAGATCCAAACACGTTTTCTAACTGTGAAATAATGAACCAAGAGCCGGAATATGATGAAGAAGAGGCTTTTAGGGAAATAAATCGAGAACTGGAACAATTTGAGAATAAACCTAAGCCGAACTTAAATGATACCGAACCGGTCAATTTGGGTAGTGCTAAAGAAGTCAGGGAAACCAAGATAAGCATTCACACATATGAGAAAACTCAGGACGCATTGATCCAACTCTTGTTTGAATTCAAAGATGTGTTTGCTTGGTCATATGACGACATGCCAGGGCTGAGTGTCGATTTGGTGGTTCACAAGTTGCCAACATACCCCGACCATCCCCCTGTCCAATAAAAGTAGAGAAAGTTTAAAACTAATATTAGTGACAAGATCAAAGAAGAAGTCACGAAACAGTTGAAAGCAGGGGTGATCCGAGTAGTTCGGTATACCACATGGCTAGCCAATGTAGTTCCAGTGCCGAAGAAAGACGGGAAGACCCGAGTGTGTTTGGATTACAGAGATCTAAACAAGGCAAGTCCCAAAGATAACTTCCTTTTGCCAAACATCCACATCCTTGTTGATAACTGCGCCAAACATGAGATACAGTCCTTCGTGGATTGTTACGCAGGATATCACCAAGTGTTGATGGATGAAGAAGATGCAGAGAAAACAGCTTTTACTAGACCTTGGGGTACATACTGTTACAGAGTCATGCCATTTGGTTTGAAGAATGCTGGGGCAACCTACATGAGGGCCATGACCGCCATTTTCCATGATATGATGCACCAAGAAATAGAGGTGTATGTGGACGACGTAATCATCAAGTCCAAAACCCAGGATGACCACGAGACCTGAGAAAATTCTTTGAGCGGTTGCGCAAATATGATTTGAAGCTGAACCCAGCCAAATATGTGTTTGGAGTCCCATCGGGCAAACTTTTGGGCTTTATAGTTAGTCGGAGAGGTATTGAGTTAGATCCAACAAAGATAAAATTTATCCGGGATTTGCCTCCTCCGAGAACCAAGAAAGATGTGATGAGCTTGTTGGGCAAATTAAACTATATGGCCGGTTCATTGCTCAGCTGACATCCACGTGTGAACCCATATTCAAATTACTGAAGAAAGATGCGGCAATCAAGTAGACAGATGAATGTCAAGAAGCTTTTGATAAGATCAAAGAGTATCTGTCCAATCCACCGGTCTTGGTCCCACCTGAACCAGGGAGGCCTCTGTTCTTGTACCTGACAATCTTGGAAAACTCTGTTGGCTATGTCCTCGGGCAGCATGATGTGACCAGAAAGAAAGAGCAAGCAATCTACTATCTGAGTAAAAAGTTTACCAGTTATGAAGCTAAGTATACTTTGTTGGAAAGAACCTGCTGTGCTTTAACCTGGGTAGCTCAGAAGTTGAGGCATTATCTGCAAGCCTACACCACTTACCTCATAACCAGGTTGGATCCTTTGATATACATATTCCAGAAACCAATGCCCACGGGAAGGTTAGCAAAATGGCAGATCCTGCTCACTGAATTTGACATAGTCTACGTCACTCGCACGGCAATGAAAGCCAAAGCATTGGCGGATCATTTGGCTGAAAACCCGATTGATGATGAATACCAACCTTTGAACACTTACTTCCCAGATGAAGTGGTAAATTCGGTCGAGGCAATATCCGAGGATACTACTGCTTGGAAAATGTTCTTTGATGGAGCGGTAAACGCAAGAGGTGTAGGAATTGGGGCAATTTGGGTTTCGCCCACTGGTCAGCATTACCCAGCCACAGCCCGGCTTCGGTTTTTCTGCACAAACAATACTGTCGAGTATGAAGCCTGCATTATGGGTATAAACATGGCAATCGACCAGGACGTAGAAGAGTTGTTGATCATGGGGGACTCGGATCTGATTATCCGGCAAGCTCAGGAAGAATGGGAGACCCGAGATGTCAAGCTTATCCCTTACAGGGCAATATGTGGAAGATCTTAGCAGGCGATTTAAATCAATAGAGTTCAGGTACATCCCTCGTTGTCACAATGAACTGGCCGATGCACTTGCTACTTTAGCCTCAATGCTGCCGTACCCAGGCAATGCTCACATAGATCCTTTGGAAATCCAAATCCGGGAAAGTCATGGTTACTGTAATACGGTTGAGGCAGAACCAAATAGTCAGCCATGGTATCATGACATCAAAAGATTTTTGAAAACTAAAGAATACCCCGAGCAATCCAGTGGAGACCAAAAGAGAACCATTAGACGGCACGCAAGTGGTTTCTTCTTGAGCGGTGATGTCTTGTACAAAAGGACTCCGGATCTCAATTTGTAAAGATGTGTTGACGCCGAAGAGGCCGGAAGGATAATGCATGAAGTACACGCAGGAGTGTGCGGACCCCACATGAACGGGTATGTTTTTGCAAAGAAAATCCTCCAAGTAGGCTATTACTTGATAACCATGGAAAAAGACTGTTTCAGCTTTGTTCGGAAGTGCCATCAGTGTCAGGTGCACGGTGATTTGATTCATGCACCTCCCACAGAACTGCATCCCATGTCAGCACCTTGGCCATTTGTTGCTTGGGGCATGGACGTCATTGGGCCAATCGAGCCGAAAGCCTCAAATGGACACAGATTCATACTAGTCGCCATTGACTACATCACAAAATGGGTTGAAGCCATCACTCTCAAATCTGTCACCAAGAAAGTTGTGGTAGATTTCGTGCACTCCAATCTTATCTGCCGTTTTGGCATTCCTGCAACTATCATCACAGATAATGCTGCAAACTTGAACAGTCGTTTGATGGAGGAGATATGCGAACAATTCAAAATAACGCATCGGAACTCTACTCCTTATCGACCTAAAGCCAATGGCGCCGTCGAGGCAGCAAACAAGAACATCAAAAAGATTTTGAGAAAGATGATTCAAAGCTCCAGGCATTGGCATGAAAAGTTGCCTTTTGCATTATTGGGATATCGCACTACGGTGCGCACATCGGTCGGAGCAACCCCATACCTTTTGGTCTATGGAACTAAAGCTGTAATACCTGCGGAAGTTGAAATCCCCTCTCTCCGGATCATTGTTGAAGTTGAAATTGAAGACAGTGAGTGGGTCAAGACCCGTCTGGAACAGTTGACCCTGATTGATGAAAAACGAATGGCTGCGGTCTGCCACGGGCAGTTGTACCAACAAAGAATGGCCCGTGCCTACAACAAGAAAGTGCGGCCCAGGAATTTTGAAGTGGGGCAGCTCGTGTTAAGGCGCATTCTTCCCCATCATCAGGAGGCGAAAGGAAACATATTTTTGTGGATATTCAGATTCATTTCTCCACTCATTTAGTCGAACAGTGTTAGTAGTCGATTCCACATGATGTTCTGAAGTGTTGTTGCTAACTTGTTCTGTCGACTTGGCTACATCTGTAAGACTAGCTGACTCCTATGATTTTCCTTTGTCCTGAACTTCTTGAGTTTGGTCTTCGTCACCTACATTGATACCTTTCTCGACCAAGGGATTAATTTCGTCGAAAATGACATGAACTGATTCTTCAACGCACAAAGTTCATTTATTAAAAACTCTAAATGATCTGCTATTTAAAGAATAACCAAGAAAAATACTTTCGTCACTTCGTGGATCAAATTTTCTAAGATTGTCCTTACCATTGTTATGAATGAAGCACTTACTTCCAAATGGATGAAAGTAACTGATGTTAGGACGCTTACCTTTCCAGAGTTCATACGGAGTCTTTTTCAGAATGGGCCTTATGAGACATCGATTTAGAATGTGGCATGCAGTACTCACACCTTCAGCCCAAAAATGATTTGGCAGAGAATGTTCTAGCAGCATGGTTCTTGCCATGTCTTGAAGAGTTCTATTTTTTCTTTCCACAACTCCGTTTTGTTTAGGTGAGCGAGGAGCAGAGAAGTTGTGAGTGTATCCTTGATCATTATAGAAATCTTCAAACGCCTTGCTTTCAAACTCGCCTCCATGATCACTTTGAATTATGGAGATAGGATAACCTTTTTCTCTTTCAATCCTTTTGCAGAAGACTTCAAAGTTTCTTAAGGCTTCATCTTTGTGAGACAGAAAAATTACCCAAGTGAAGCGTGAAAAGTCATCAACAATAACAAAAGCATATTTCTTACCTCCTATGCTAGAAGTTCTAGTTGGTCCAAATAAATCCATATGAAGTAATTGCAGGGGTTTAGAGGTAGATACTATGTCTTTATTTTTGAAAGAGATTCTAGTTTGCTTACCCATCTGACATGCATCACAAATGTGAGTCCTAGAAAAATTCAATTCGGGTAACCCAATGACTAAATCATGTTTGGATAATTTCTCAATTAGATGCATGCTAGCATGACCAAGACGTCTATGCCACAACCAAGGATCACAGGTTAGGCATATGTGACCATCTACATTTTCGAAGCCATCAAGTATATAAACATTTCCGTACCTTTTTCTAGGAAGAATTATTTTACCTGATTCGTCTTCGATGGCACATCCAATTCTTTTAAATTTTACCTCATATCCTAAGTTGTAGAGTTGACTTATACTGAGAAGATTATAATTTAATCCATCAACCAAATATACTTCACTGATATCACAGCTGTTGTTGAAAGGTATAGTTCCAGTGCCAACTATTTTGCCTCGTGAATCATCTCCGAATTTGACGCTCCCTCCATCAATCTTTGTAACTTCCTTAAACAGGTTTTTGTCACCTGTCATATGACTGGAACACGCACTATCTAGGTACTATTTTCCTTTGCGCTTTATTCTGTGGTGTTCCTGCAATACAGAAATATTACTTTCTTTTAGGTACCCAAGCTTGCTTGGGTCCTGGTGAGTTAGTGTTACTAGGTTCGAAATTCTTAGGTTTCCAAACCCATCCGGACATTTGAGATTTACGAAAGTGATAGCCAGAATATTTATGCCCACTTTTGTTACAATAATGACATTTAATCTCGGACCTGTCTTCAGGTCTTTCATACGAGTTGGAATTAGCAGTCGTAGGATTTGCTGATTCCTTTCCAGTTGACTTGTAAGTCGACTGGTTCGATCGACTAGTCGATCTAGTTCTGATTGGTTCTTTACCAGTTGACTTGTAAGTCATCTGGTTTGACCTAACAGAGCTATGACTGGTGGATTTGCACAAGCTGTTAAACTGCATTTGCAATTCCTCAAACTCTTCTTGAAGTACGTCCTTTTCAATTTCACATACTTCATGTTTGAGATTCCAGTCTTTGACTTCCCTGGTAAGTCTCTTGAGTTCATTCATCATCTTCTGAGACTCCTTTAGGGTGGAGTCAAGAATGTCTTGTAATTCTTTGCGTCTTTCACATTCATAAAGTCTTACCTCGCTAGTTTCTCCTTTTGCCATAAAGCAGCTTTCATTGTCTGAATCGTCTTCATCTGTCCAGCATCCTGATGTTTTGTTGATCTCATTTTCAAGAATTGTCATGAAGCAGAGATTTGCTATTTCTTCGTGGTCTGAGTCATCCTCATCACTCCAACTTCCAAATGATCTGTTTTTGTTGAATCCTCTGGAGATCTTTTTCTTTAGTTCCGGACACTCTGCTTGGATGTGTCCAAACTTTCCACATTCATAGCATTTTCCATCGTTCTTATCTTGTTCATTGTATTGTCTAGATCTTCTTGGTGAAAATCTTCCTATCTTTGTATTTCTATTTCTTCTCATTAATCCATCCATGTTTCTAGACATCATAGCGATTTCCTCTTGTAGAGTTTCAGGATCATCAATTTCATTTTCAGCAGCTTCAGTAGTAGCTTTGAATGCAATAGTTTTCTTCTTCTCCTCTTGATTTGTCTTCTTCAAATGTGTTCTTTTGAAAGCAATGAGCTCTCCTCTCAGTTCATCATATGATAACTTATTAAGATCTTGAGATTCCAAGGTGACGACTTTCGTCCGCCAGATGGTTGGTAGACTTCTGAGAATTTTCCTAACTTGATCGCCACTGGAGTATGGTTTGCCAAAAGCTTTTAAGTCGCTGATTATTTTACAGAACCGGGCAAACATTTCTTCAATGGATTCTCCTTCCTTCACTGAGAATAATTCATAGTCGTGAACTAGCATATTTATGTGGGTTTCCTTTACCTTGCTGGTACCTTCATAGGTGACTTCGAGTTTATCCCACATTTCATTAGCAGTATCACAACTGGAAATCTTTTCATGTTCTTCACCACTTATTGCATTATGAAGCAGATTACTTGCCTTGTGGTTTATTTGAACAGCTTCCAATTGTTCCTTTGAGTATGATTCTATATCATCAGGGTCAGCAAGCGGTGGTGTGCTGGCAGGCAGTGGGTAGTTCCCCTTTTTGATAACTCTCCATACTTTGACATTGTATGCTTTGGTGATGATTTCCATGCGGATTTTCCAGTGGGAGAAGTGTTGTCCATTGAAGTAGGGTGGTCTCACTTGAGAGGTTCCTTCCTGAAATAGAGCTCCAACTATAACTTGATTTGCCATGATCTTTTTCGCACAAGCTGTTAAGCAAAAAGCAAAAGTGTGAGCCTTGCTCTGATACCAATTAAAAGTACAAGCGGGGGAGGGGGGGGGGATGAATTGTATATAATTTATATAAATCGTAACAAGTTGACTTAAAACTTTAGTAGTCGACTTAAACAGTAATTCTTGCAGACAGTGAGATTCGAAATGATAAGCAAAAGTAAATGCATAAATTAAAGACACCGGGAATTTTATACTGGTTCGGATTCAGTGTGAATCCTAATCCAGTCCCCTTGGGTTGCAAGGGATTTCTCTTCAAGCAAATGAGTTTTCTTTCGAGTACAGATTTGGTATTTGTCTCTCAGTTATTTTGGCACTCGTTTGATACAATGCCTCACCAGTTGTACGCTCTCTTTCTATTCCTGACTTGTTACACATCAGATCTATCTAGGCTACTATGCTTGTTTGCAGTAAATTGAAGAGAGTGATTTTGGTTCGATCAAAGTATACTAAGGGTGGAGTTGCACTATGAATTTATACAATGATGGTTGGTGAAGGCTTGTCAACCCAAGGGTTTTGATCCTTGGAAAGAGTTGATTCTTTCCAAGAATAAGGTATTAGCCGTTGCTTCTCGTCAGATTCTTTCCTTTGGCAATCGATGAGTTTGACAGAATTCTTCCTTGATGTTTGCGATCCTTCCGTTCTTGACTGCTGTCCGGATCTTCTAGATTTGATTGATCTCCGGTGATTTGATTTGGCTCGTCAATCATGGATTGCGCTGAGTCTTCATTCCATTGCTGCAACTTTGATTTCCCAGAATCATGGAGTTAATCTCGTAGAGTTAATTCCTTCCTTGTGCATCATGATATTGGGACAGCTTCAATATCCTTCCTTGTTCGTTATGGCAATGTCAATAATTCATTTTTGCTTCCTTGAACTCCTGCACATGCATCATTAATTTGCATCATTAAAATATGTTCTAACAGAAATTCCATCGCAGGTGCGGGTACCACTTACTCTCCCAAAATCTGTATCTAGGGTCAAATACTCGCACCTGTGAGTGCGCACCTGCGGGCCCTGCCCGCTTCTGCGATCCATTCTTCCCAGAACCTTTTCTGCATCTGCTCTCCACTTCTGCATCTTTGATGCCGCAGATGCGTTCTAAATCCCCCACCTGCACTTCTAGTTCACCTTGTCCTTGCCCACATTCGAAAGCCCCTCTTTGCTTCTGCAGGGCCGCACCTATGGAATCCCCACAGTAGGTGTGAAAATACCAGAACCAGCAGCTTCAGCTTCACTTCTTCAACTCAAAACAATCTGATAACCACCCGAAATCACTCCGAAGCCCTCGGGACCACAACAAAACATACCGACACATCCCATAACATCATACGAACTTAGTAAAATCATCAAATCACCTCGAACAACGTCAAAACACCAAGTTACACTCGGATCCAAGCCTAAGAACTTCTAAACTTCCGAACTACACAAACAGTGCCGAAACAGCTCCAACCAGCATCCGAAAGACCACAAATTTTGCACATAAGTAAAAAATAACACCACGGACCTACTCCAACTTCTGGAATTCGATTCTGACCTCGATATCAAAATTTCCACTACCGACTAAAATCGCTAAAAATCTAACTTTTGCCACTTCAAGCCTAGTTCTACCATAGACCTCCAAATCATATTTCGTGGCGCTCCAAAGTCAAAATAACATAACGGAGCTAACAGAATCATCAAAATACAAATCTAAGATTGTTTACTATGACGACCCAACCCGTCGTCTCATGTGTTACTGCTCCGTTTCACCCATTTTATGCTCCCTCATGTTTCGTTATCGGTATGTGGTATGTTGGAGTTGTTTCGGACTGGTTTTGATAAGAAATGAGACACTTAGTCTCTTTAAGGAAGGCTTAAGTTGGAAAAGTCAACCGGACGGTGACTTATGAGTTAGAAGGCTCGGATGTGATTTCTGGTGATTCGGTTAGCTTCGGGGGATGAATTGTGACTTAGGCGTGCGATCTGAATTGATTTTGGAGGTTCTGTGTAGAATTAGGCTTGAATTGGCGAAGTTAGTATTTTGGCGAATTCCGGTTGATAGCTGAGATTTTGATCCGAGGGTCGGAATGGAATTCCGAGAGTTGCTATAGCCTCGATATGTGATTTGTGATGTGTGTGCAAATTTCAGGTCATTCAGACGTCGTTTGGTTGGGTTTTTGATCGAAAGTGCATTTCGGAAGTTTTTGAAGAACTTAGGCTTGAATACGATGTGATTTGATGGTTTTAGCATTGTTTGATGTGTTTTGATGATTGGAACAAGTTTGAATGACGTTATGGGATAGGTTGGTGCTTTTGGTTGAGGTCCCGGGGGCCTCGGGGTGATTTCGGATGGCTAATGGAAGAAATTTGAAGTTGGAAATTGCAGGTCCTTGGTTGCACCAGGTATTTCCGCATCTGTGGAAAGGAGACCGCAGATGCGGTTGCGCATAAGCAGAAGTTTTATCGCAGGTGCAAAAAAGGGTGAGGATCAGCATGTCCGCAGAAGCGGAAAGTCAACCGCATAAGCGGGTCCGCTTAAGCGGAAAAGTCGCCGCAGAAGCGGTTATGGAAATTTTAATGAGAAACCGCATAAGCGGAATTTTGGCCGCAGAAGCGGTCCCGCATAAGCGGAAGCGGGACCGCAGAAGCGAAAATCGACCTAGGCAGAAAGGTTTAAAATATCATTTTTCATTCGCGAGGGTTATGTATTTACCACCATTTTTGAGCGAGCTTTGAGAGCTTTGAGGCGATTTT